CAACCCATTTATTTTAAAATAAATGATCGGTGGCGACTCCAATTCATTTAATCCAAGTTGAAGCCCAATTCCGAGCCCAACCGAAAGACGGTTACGATAGGGACCAACCTACTAATTCATGGGTGGCCGTGAGTTGGGTTAGGCAAACCTAGAGGAAAAGGTACACGGATCCAATCACCAAGTTGTTCTGGTTGGTCTGTGGCAGGTGCCACAAGGGAACAAGAAGCTACCAAATGCCCAATGATGCCACCGCGGTAACAAAACCCAGGTAGCCTTTCATATTTGAGAATACACAAACATGGAGTTCCATTGGTTCGACGTCCTATAGGAAGACACCGTCGAAGGGGCTTTGAAATATCAATGACAACTCGAAGCCTCAGATACGAGCCCAACCGGCTAGCTCTGAGTCAAAGATTCACGGCTAATGGCATTCCAAGTCGATGACCAATAAGAGCACCCATAGACTCAGACATCCATCCTAATGAGAGATCATACTCACGAACCCAAATGGCCAAGCGCGTGATATGTTGATCATCCGTTACTACAAGGGCGTGATATGTTGATTTGACAGAAAAAAAATCTGTTTCATCCCACCGCCAACCCAAATTATTGGGCCGAAGAATAGCTTGTGGGAGGTTGGTCGCAGCAAGCTTTCTTAAGATAGAACCTAATAACACCCCATTCAAAAGACTCCAATCCCACTACCCGCAACTTGTAACAAACGAAGCAACAGAAGTCGGAGAGGGTTCTACACGATCAAGCCGTTTATGTACTAAAGGACTCTCATTACTCAACCAAACATTGAACCAAAAGTCCGTTTGTAGTCCATTTCAAATATACACTTTCTAGAACTAATATGAAAAAAATGTTATTTGCCTTCATAATAGTTAGGGTAAACTATACAAATGAACACAAACTTTTAGGACACTTTCATTTTGATCATCAAATTTTAAAACTTACAACATGATCATTGAATTTGTTATAATTATGATCATTATCGTCAGTTATCACTAAAAAAATTAATGTAGCATATTATGTCTTCCTCTCCTCTCTTTTTATTCTATGGTCGAATCTTTCTTTTTAATATCTGTCTCCGAGTCGAACTCTCACTACCTCACCGTCCTTCTCAACGTAACTCATAAAGAGTTCAGCGAGTTAAAAAACGGAATAATTTGCTTAAGCTTTAAAAAACATATCTCGAAACTTTGTTAGCACCTGGGAAATCTCAGTATGGCATTCTACCGGTAGCTAATTATGGTAGTTCTAATCTTCTTAATTTCATGTAAACTTAAGATGAAAAAGTTCTACCAACTCATGCCGACAAGTACTTAAACGACACTCTACCCACGACTCCATTTATTGTCCAATGGCAAAATAAAATGAACAAAAAAAATTCAAATTGATATCATATTGCTCTATTAACTATATTTGTGAGACTAAAATTTAAGAAATTAAAACTTGAAACTTAAAATAAAATTCATGAATATTATATTCGTTTAAATTGTGGCTTATTATTTTTAAATTATAAGAATAAATCTTAAAAGTCATTATTCCTTTAATGCAAGGTTAATTTATTGAGAATATATTCAAAAATATATTCGAAGAATAGTAGTTAACTCGAGTTGATGAAAGACAACCAAAGATTTCTTTGATGAAAATCTTAAATTTTTTTTGTAATGTATAAATATTTTCAAAATCTTAACAATTTATAATTTATTATAGCTTTATATATTTTTAAATATATTTTTAAATATATTTTAATATGTTCAAATTTGAATATCTTCTTAAATTATTGTTTTTCTTTACAATTAAATAAACCCTTAAAGTTTATATTAAAAATATTATACATTCTAATTCAGTTAAAAATCAATCAACTATATATGTTATATTATCGTTTTTGTTTAAAAAACGTGAGTATATGTGCGGGTTTCTAGTCAGCTTCTGGAGTCTGATTGAGTTAGTTTAAACTGCATGCAAGCTGTTTGTGATAAAGTCTTAATGAACCAGTCTTTTGCTCGTATGAAAAAATCAGTTTGAGGAAGTGTGTTTTAGGTCTTCCGTTGGAATCAGTCTCTTTGTGTGTGGTTATTCTACCAATCATTTTCTTTGGAAACGCTTATGGCATGTAGTGGGTTGCTTTTGGTGTGGTTCTGAGTGTGTATTTACCAAAGAAGTGGTGTCGTGTAGGCTCAAGGTTTGGATCCGTATATGAATTTGTTTCTGAATGTGATTTTCTCATGGATTTAGTGTCTCCTAAATTGTTTGAACCTGGTGAGTGACTGTAAGGGGTTGAGGAGGTTAATGGCTTTGGTCTTGTGGTTTTATATTGATTTTTAGTGGAGCTAGAGTGGTTTTCTTATTAGCATTTTAGTGATAGGGTTGTAGTAGGTTGTTTATTTGGTTGTCTAATTTGGTGTGGCTCATGTTTTATTGGTTGTTTAGCTGTTCTCCGATAGAGTGTTTCATTTCTTGGGTTAAAGTTTGGTTGGTGTGGTTGTCCAGTGGCCTGGGCTTTGGAGGCTAGTGATTTGTCTTGTGCAGCTGGTTTGTGTTTGCTTTGGAATGTTTTAAGTTCTTTGGTGTTGTTTTCAGTTGCTGTACTTAGTCTGCTCCAGTGTTTGAGTGTTGCACTGTGTTTTCTATGTTGGCTCTTTGGCCGGTGGTAGAGCGACGAATATAACAGTGGTCGGCGTTGAGATGATTCCTAGGTTGCATGAGGGTTCTGGTTCCAGTTGCTGGTTTCGAGGTAAACTTTTTCGAAGCAAGTTTAAAAGTAATACTAATTTTAAGAAAAATGAAGATGGTGCCCTGTTAGCTGGTATACGCATGCATGTTCTGTTGTGGAAATGAGGAGATTGTCAGAGTTTGTTTATTCGCTGCGCCCATAACGTTGTATGATGGGCCGTCATTTTCTATTGGTGGATGAGGTGGCATTTTTAGTGAGCCATACCATATTGGATGACCTTTTCCATATCCTTTTTCTCAATTTTTTGAAGCTCCACTTGTTGAAATTTCAGCTTTTTAAGGCAGAGTGGAAGCAACCCTACGCTTGCTTCGCTCTATCAGAGGAGCGTCTTTGTCAATGATAGGGAGGCAATGAGTATGGGGCTAGTGGTTTGTGAGGTGGAAAGGAGGGCTACTGTTGAAGGGGTTATGCACGATGTTCCTATGTTTGATTCTGTTGGTCCATTGATCAATAAAGGTGGTGGGATTGTGGCACTTATTTAATTTTGTATGTTGTTTCCTATCTTTATTGCGGGTGGTCTTGATTGAAGCTTCTGTTTTCCAGCTTATTTTTTTGATATTTTGATATTTTTTTTATTATTTTTAGGGTTAATGGGGTAGGCTCGTACAGTCTTGTTCTCTAGTGATATGTTTCGGTCCTTGGACGAGTCTGTTGGCAGCTAGTTTTCAACAATTATGGTTCTCCATGTCTCAGGGCTAGTCTTTGCTCAAGCTCTGGTTGAGGGTGATGTTGTGTTTGAGGTGTTGGCTCGTTACTTTGGATATGCAGTCGGTGTTCGATCTCGTTTTAGGTCTAAGTTCATTTTAATAGTTTGTTTCTGTTGAATTTCTTGGCACGGGTTTGGGGTTTATAGTAGGTTGGGTTTGGGTTTGTGTGATGTTCAGCTTTGTGTTTATTGAAACTTACCATCTCTACAACCTCAAGGCACACTTTTTTCCCCATTCATGATTAGGGGATTTTTGTAATGAGGTCCTCGAGGTGGTTTACTTTGTAAATGTTCGTAATACAAAGTACCATCTTTCAAAAAAAATAACTATTATGTCAGCATTGTAATTACAAAAGATGATTTTCGTCAAGCAAATATTAATGCAATTCAAAGAATTCAAAAATTAAATTAATATAATTAAAATAATATAGATGACATACTGAATTGAAATAGTTTTGAATTAAAATTTTAGTTGATAAATATGTATAAATATTTCTTATAAATGAATTATCTAAACTAATTATTAAATTATCTAATATAAACTTATGTTTTAAGAATTAAAAGTTAAAACAATATGAATAAAATGCAATGACAAAAATTGGAAGAACTCGTTTTAATTATTAAATTTTCTCTTGGATTGGATTCATATAGATGTTCAGTTTAAATTTTTTCGAGTTTAGATTTTTTTTGAGTCGGACCTTTTTGGGTTTTGATTTTATCGTATTCATTTTTTTATTTATCGGGTTTACGGGTCGAATGCGTAGCAGTATGCATCGGTATCAAGCATAGGATCTACCAATTCAACCATCTTCCAACAAGTTGATGGTGCACATCTAACTCCCCGTATTTCCACAATTGCTTTCTTTTAATGAATTTCGTTTTCTTTTCACATTTATATTTTCTCGTTGGAGGTTAAGAGGAGCTCTATCTTTTCATTAGCCCTAATATTTTTTTTTTAAAAAAATAAAACGAATTTTCGTACAATTTTGAAGTTAATTATTTCCCAATCAATTCTACAACAAATGCTATTAATTCTCATTATAATTTCACCAGAAACAGGTGTGGTTAAGAAAGCTCACTCGAATGTTTTTAGTACCTAAACAAGTTCAGATAGCATTCAAAATGGTACATTCATATGGTTAAGTGTTGGTAGGTGCAGAAAGAATAATTAATGAGAAATATTATTAAACCAAACTCAAAAAACTTCACCTGTTTCTTTTATTTCTTAAATGAAATATAAAGCAAAAAATTTAACAAAATTGATATAAATATAACCCAATGTTTTTTTTATTGACGTGATTAAGACTTACGTATCCAAAATGCTAACATTTTAATTGCCATATTAAAACATGAGGAAAAAAATTAACACACCATCTAAGTATCCGAGGCTTGAATATATTTACAAAGTGGATCAATTTCCATAAACAAACCAACAATTGAAAAACCATATATTTACATTAAGTAGCAACCAATTCATAAGCATTAGAGCCCCCTTCTCCCCAACTATACGAGCCATTAATTAATTCCTCATAGCAGCTGTCCCCTCTTTTAACCAACATCATATATAATGGAAACACGTTGAGGTATAGATCTACAGTCATTGGTACCAAACTAAAATTTAAAACTTTTTGTCAATTTCATCTTTTAAATTGAGATTACATGAATCCACCCATTCTAACACTTACCTGTATTTTTAATTTGTCACCATCATTTTCGTTTCCCACCTTGGATGGAACTACAAGTACCAATCCCTCGTTATAATAAATTAGCTTCACAGGCTCTGAGGAAACCAATTTCTCTCTCTCCGTGAAAGAAAAACAGAGCAAAATGGTTAAGCCTCTAGCATTTTGGCCTTGGGAAAACTTGGGAATTTTCAAGGTACGAGAAAACTATATTTCTTTTATATCTGATCTATGATTTCTTTCAAACTGATATGGATTTTTGGCTTTTTTTTTCATAGTATGTGATGTACGGTCCTTTAGTTGCAAAAGTTGTGTGTTCATGGATCTATGAGGATAGCCTAAACGATGTATGGTGTCTTCATATACTCATTGTATGTGGTTTGAGAGGTTCGGTTCATCAGCTGTGGAGTTCTTACAATAACATGCTTTTCCTGACACGAAATCGTCGGATTAAGCAGCAAGGAGTTGATTTCATGCAGATTGACAGAGAATGGGACTGGTGAAACATAAAGCCATATGTTTTTTCGCCTTGTAATAGCAATTCCAACAACAAAAATTTATCTGATTCATCGTCTTTTTGGAATGTTTTTTAGGGACAATTTCATAATACTTCAAGCACTGTTGGCTTCCTTGGTCTGCTTGATGTTATCATCCATGGTTGAGTTAATTCCTGTGTGGAATCCAAAAGGATTTATTACTTTGCTGTTAGTGCATGTTATGATTTCGGAGCCCTTGTTTTATTGGGCGCATAGGTTTTTCCATGAAAGCTACCTTTTCACCCATTATCATTCACTTCACCATTCATCTTCGGTGCTTCATCCCTACACAGGTAAAAAAATCATTAACACCCATATTTTTATTATGCTAAACTTTGATATTTAGTCCCTTAAGTTTAATTTAGTACGATTTGATCATCTACTTTTGCAGGTGGACATGCTACATTTTTAGAGCACCTTGTATTATCCGTAGTGATCGGAATTCCATTAATGGGGTCGATTGTAATGGGGAATGCATCAACAATCATGATTTATGGGTATGTATTGGGATTTGATTTTATGAGATGCATGGGGCATTCCAATGTTGAAGTTGTTCCTGCTCAAGTGTTCAACAAGTTACCATTCCTCAGATATTTGATCTACACCCCCACGTAAGTAGCTCTTTCCTCCTACTCATGCAATTAATGTGTACCATATCCCTATATCCAAAATTCACTTCCAACCACTTCCATAAAACCATTCCCTACAATCTTCTTTCCTGTCTGCTTTCTCTTCTATTCCCTAATTTCATTTTAGCAAATATTTATAAAAAGGCTTCACTTAGTCAAATATCTACAAGCAAGAATTTGGGCGGTAACTAAAGATAATTAGGTTAATTAACAGTGCAATGGAACTCGCAAGCATAGATATACACATAATTTTTTTATCTATACATAATTTTATTAATTTTATGTTAGGATTGAAAAAAAATCATCAATAAAAAATATTTAAATTATATAAAATTTTTGAATTTTTAAAGGATCCATCATCCTTATTTTAAGATGGACCGAAGGGAGTGGGTATACTAAAAAATTACTATATATGTGTCTATACTCAAAAAAGTTTAAAATTACTATATATTTTATATTTTTCTATACATTGTTTATTGAAAATGTGTCTGTACTAAATTTTTTTATAAATTCGTTATTTTTTAAAATTTTATCCTCTAACATAAAATTTTACGTTGGTCCTACTCCTATTAGCGCCCTTCGATCTATCATTGCTAGCAAGTTTCTGTTCACATACAAGGATAACTCAGTTCTTTTACGACAGTAATTTAGTTTAGAGCTGGTTTCTGAAACAAGGCAATAATTGTTTTTAGAGATAAATATTAGTTACTATTTTCGCTACTTATTTAAAACGAATTTATCGCATTGAATGAAATATTATGCCTAAAATTACAGTTTTTTTTCAATATTATTGCATTTTAAATGTTTTGCCTCATAGTAGAGTTGGCAGAGCCTAGATAACACTTAGTTAAGTAAATTTTATTATATATAAATCTGGCCTTAATTTATATATTTTTTAATAATCCAATTTTTTTATAATGATTAGTTTTCGTTATTTTAATTTATATGCAAAGATACGTATTACACTTGAGATTTAATATTAGCATAATGAAACGGCAAATCCTCGGGATACTCTCCTTCTCCATTAAGAATTTCTTACTATTATGGATATCTATCATATTTAATATACTTAATAGTAAAATAATCTCTAATTAATTAAATCAATTAAAATTTTAACTAAAAATTAACAATTAAAATACATATCAATCTCTAAGACTTTGGTTGAGTGGAAAAACAGAAGGAAGGGAGAATGAAAAATAGAAATAAAATAAATTTTAAGTGAGTTTGGTAGTAAAGAAAAATGAGAGGATGTTATTTTTTTATTGTAATGCGTAAGATTAAATTATTTTAATTTGAAAGGAAACGAAATAGAAAATGTAAGAAAGATAGGAGTTAATTCAAAATATATATTCATTTTTGTGTTTTAATGATTGGTTTATGCAAATTGTTAGGTACCATAGCTTGCACCACACAGAGGCAGGGACCAACTTCTGTCTGTTCATGCCGCTGTTTGACGCAATGTGGAATACGCTTAACTGCAACTCGTGGCATCTACACAACAAAATAACTACAGATTCTGGTACTTGCCAAGGAATTTTGTTCTGTTTTTTTTTCCAACAATGAAAAATTCTGAGATTTGAACCCTTTATTATTGTATTGAACACAGGTAAAAATGGGAGGGTGCCGGATTTTGTGTTCCTAGCACACGTGGTGGACATAATGTCGGCGATGCATGTCCCATTTGTGATCAGATCATTCGCATCCATACCCTTCTGCACAAGGATCTTTCTGCTGCCGTGTTGGCCGTTTACGTTTATTGTAATGCTAATGATGTGGGCATGGTCCAAGACCTTCCTCCTCACTTTCTATTACCTCAGAGGCCATTTGCACCAGACATGGGTTGTTCCTAGATACGGTTTTCAGGTGATTTTGGACACCCACTTTTGTTATTGCAATGTCAAATATGATGTAAAAATGTGGGTTTAGTTTAGTTAATCATGTACACCATTACCACTTTTTTCTCTCCAGTATTTCTTACCATTTGCAGCGGATGGCATCAACAAGCTCATAGAGGAGGCGATTTTAAGGGCTGATAGAAAGGGGGTCAAGGTCATTAGCCTAGCTGCATTAAATAAGGTCAGTATTCTGTAACCTAATCTTAAGGTCATTAGTCTCACACGTTGAGATGAAGGGGAAAAATTGTTTATGACTTCATTAGTATGTGTTCAATAGTTAAATAATGGTTTTTAGATATTTTATTTAATAATTATATAAAATATGTAAATAAGAAAATGTTCTTAAAATAATATATTAATTATCATTTATAAAAATGGTTTGGCTGACATTTTCTAATTAAGTTGATATTCAGTGACCTTCTAAATAAATAGAGATGTCGAAATTTACAGAATATATATGATTAAATTATTGAAATTCAAATAAATAAATGGTGGTTTAAACATACTTAAAACACACAAAAAAGTTGGGAAACAATTAAGTGTAATTCCCGCAATTTAAACATTAAAATCTTCTCCTAGATGCCTATATTCATATTTGTCCTAACTTTATGTACTATACATAAAATATAAGTATAGGTATTGAATGGGCGAGTTAGGTTGTCCTATGAATAGGATTTAATTATTTTGAGTTAGATCAATTGAGATAAAAAAATTTAGATAATTTCAAATTAGAAATCAATTTGAATTAGCGTTTCTAAATTTTAGATTGGAATCATTTTAATTCATATCATAGAGTTCAAGCAATTGAATTATTTGTACTATATTTATTATTTTTAAACCATGATGTCGACTTTAATAATAAAGTTGGGAAAGAATATCAAAATGGGTTAAACATGGTAATCAGAATGAAGCTTTGAATGGAGGAGGAACGCTGTTTGTAAACAAGCATCCAGATCTCAAAGTGAGAGTTGTGCATGGCAATACCTTGACTGCTGCAGTTATTGTTAATGAAATACCCAAAGATGTCAAGGAAGTGTTTTTAACGGGTGCTACTTCGAAGCTTGGTCGAGCCATCGCCCTCTACCTTTGTCGAAACCGAGTTCGAGTTCTCGTAAGTTGTTTTCTTAAGAATCTAATTATCGAACCGCAAATCAATTGCTTGTGGCTTAGAATTCTAAACTTCGTGTACAGATGTTGACTTCATCGACTGAAAGATTTCAGAAAATACAAAGGGAAGCCTCGGCAGATACACAAAACTACCTAGTCCAAGTGACCAAATACCATGCAGCTCAAAATTGTAACGTATGGCCATTCTCAATTGTTGAATTATTTTAGTATTTTCGTAAGAAGTACGAAATACGAATAAATTATTAAAGATGATACGATTGTATATAGACATGGATCGTGGGAAAATGGATAACACCAAGGGAGCAATATTGGGCTCCATCCGGAACACATTTTCACCAATTTGTGGTTCCTCCCATTCTATCTTTCAGAAGAGACTGCACTTACGGTGAACTCGCAGCCATGAGGTTGCCTCATGATGTTGAAGGCCTTGGGAACTGTGAGGTGACTTCTTTTTTCATGTGATATTATTTTTTAATAGTATAAGATAATATATGTTTGGAATATCTCTTAATTATTGAAAATACATACTGTGACTGCGCAAACTAGAGACCACTAACAACACACTCTTACCATTAAGGTCACTCAATAGATTTCATGTGTTACTTATTTAGTTTACCGACAACATATATAAATCGGGTATATATATGTTTACTAAGTTGTGGTGGATGTTGCGGCAGTACACGATGGAGAGGGGAGTGGTGCACGCATGCCATGCAGGAGGAGTGATTCATCAGTTAGAAGGTTGGACTCATCACGAAGTTGGGGCGATTGATGTTGAAAGAATCGACCTCGTATGGGAAGCTGCCCTCAAGCATGGTTTCAAGTCGGTCTCAACCCTTAAATGAAAACGTTTAGACATAATTGTATGTAACAAGTCTAGACCCTTGGGGTTTATAAACATTACTAAAAGTGTTGACGCCCGTGAAATTGCTAGTTGGGATGTTGTTGATGTTAATGCAGAAAGCCAATGAAGTCGCTGATTTTTATGCTAAATCGGTGTTCCTAGAGTGTCTCCTGTCATGGGTGTAATTGTCACAACTGCTTTTATAATACCAATTGCTTTTGAAAAGCAAGTCTTTGTTTTTTTTTTCTTTATTTTTAAGAGCAAACTCTCAATTTTTGTATCTGTTGAACAAACGAGCATTTTGTTAAGAGCTTAGTGAACACATTTGCAGCTTTATCAATGGGCAGTACATGATTGACACAAAGCTCCCTCTTGCTTTTTTCTATGATAAAATGAACATCCAATTTTACATGCTTCATCTTGGCATCTAGAATCAGATTTGAAGTAATGGACTGTGCTGCAACGGTTTTGAGGATGTCCAACCGGAATGAAACGAATGTTCAATAAAAACAAATGGAAGAAAAGAAAAGATAGAATCTGTCATCAAATTTTTTTATTTAGGTGTGACTGAACACCATAAAATAAATATATCCTCAGTTAATTAATATGTAATTCTGCAGCCTGAAGAATCTTCTGACTTTTCTGGGGTTAATGTGGTTAGTGTTGATATGAGTGATTTTGAAGGTTGTTTGTCTGCTGTTGGTATGGTTGATCATTCTTGCACAGGGCCCCGATTTACTTGCTTCGAGGCTTGACAGAGTTGTAGTTAACTCTGCTTGGTTTCGGTGTTCCATTGGTTTGTATCTTGAGGTTTTGGCTCGTAGGGGTCAGGGCTACAAATGAGAAGAGATAGATAGTGTGTTACTCGAGATCGACTTGATCAAAGCTCTATAAATACTCGATTTGAATGGATTCGACTCGGGTTCTTAACGAGCCGGAATGAGTTACTCTTTTCACAAGCAACTCGAAAATATAATACATTAATATTTTTTTTTTTCCAAAAAAAAATATGAAGAATATTAACATGTATGTGTTGATTTTTTTTAAATTACAGTATAATGTTTTCATTTGTTTAAGGTTCATTTTCGAATTTGACTTTGAACTTCAATCGAGTTAAGTTTAAGATTTTTTTTTCTTTATTTCGAGCTTTTGTGAGCTTCTATTAATGGTTTTAAGTTCAATTCGAGTTTGAAAATTCTAGGCTTGCGAGTTTTTAGCTGAGTTGAGCTCTATTTTTGAGTTTTCAAGTCGTATCGTGCTCAATAATACTAGAGCTCGATTCAACTCATTTACAGCCCTATCTGGGGTGTCTAGCCATTTCCTTTTGCTGATGTATCTTGATAAGGAGGTTAAGTCCTTACCTAAACCTCTTAGATTTTTTAGTTTTGTGACGCTTCATCTTTCTTTCCTGGGCATGATTGAGGAGTTTTGGAAGAAGCCAATTGTTGGGTCTAATCCTTTGACTAAGTTGTTTTACAAGTTGAAAGGGCTTAAGCTCTTGCTTAGGCAGCTTAATGCTGAGCACTTTGGTAACATCTCAAGTAAGGTTAAGGAGAAAATGGTTGATCTTGAAGGTGTTCAATTGGAAGTGTTATCTAGTGGGAATAGCTCGGATCTTGTGGCTAGGGTATGCTGAGTTTTAGGTCCTCCTTGTTGCTAATGAGAGTTTCTATCACCAAAAGTCTAGAGTCACTTGGGTCCAGGAAAGGGATCAAAACATTAAGTTTTTTCATGCTTTGCTGACTAAGAGACAAAAAAAAAAAATACTATTCAGAGTCTCCACTTTGAGGATAACAAGCTGTTAGTGGATTTTGAGGACATTGCTGAGGAGGTTGTTGGCTTTTACAAAAAGCTGACTAGTCAGTCTAACCCTGAGACTGTTAGTTGCTCGATTGAAGACCTTAGGGCCATTCTTAATGTTACCAATTTTTCTGAAGAAAGGGAAGAAATGGGGAGGGTTGTTACTCAAAATGAAAATTAAAGAGGCTATATATGTTGGAGCAAAATGGAGATAAAAGTCCTAGCACTGATGGCTATATTGCTCATTTCTTTAAAGTCATTTGGAGTGTTATTGGAAGTGATGTTATTCGAATTGTGTTGTATTTCTTTGATAGCCGTCAAATGTATCTTGCCTTTAACAACACTACTCTTGTGCTTGTTCCCAAAGTGGATAATCCTTCTTCTATGAAGGAATTTAGGCCCATCTCCCGTTGTAATGTGATCTATAAGTGTATCACCAAGTTTATTATGAGGAGAATTTCAAACTACTTAATGAAGGTGGTTACTGGTAGCCAAAGTGTTTTTTTAAAGGGAGAAACATCACTATCAATACTTTTGTTACTTAGGAGTTTACCAACGGTTATGGAAGAACCATTTTTTCCATACGGTGTGCCTTGAAGATTGATATTCAGAAGGCTTTTGACACGGTTAGCTGGAAATTCATCCTCAAAGTTTTGCAGGACTTGGATGTTCCTTAGGTCACCCTTAACTGGATCATATATTGCATTACTAACTCTAGGTTCTCAATGGCTTTGAATAAGGGGTTGGTAGGGAACTTTGGGGGGCTAGGGGGTAAGACAAGGTGATCTCCTTTCCCTACTTTGTTTGTGTTGGTGATGAATGTTCTCTCTAAAATATTAGATGATGCTACTACCTATAGGTTGTTCAAGTTCCACCCTAAATGTCTTCGTATCAAACTTATGCACTTATGTTTTGTTGACGACTTGTTGATCTTTTTTTAAAGGGAGCTATGATTATGTCCAGGGACTATTTTTTTTAGGAATTTTATGTCTATTATGGCCTCCATTTAAGAGATGATAAGAGAGAGATTATTGAGGAGGGATTGGTGTAAAGTTGGGGAGCCTTCCTGTTAAGTAACTGAGTATACCTCTTGTAACTAGGAAGCTTACAGTTGTTGATTGTAAGCCCTTACTAGATAAGACCGAGGATCATTTTTAGGCTTATGTTGTTAGGAGTCTATCTTATAAGGGAAAAGTGTAGGTTATTTAGGTGGTTATTTTTAGTGTAAAAAATTATTAGAAGAGGAAATTAGTGCTTTCTAAGGTGGCGCTGCAGTAAATTAGCCAGATCTGCGTCTGAGTTTTTTGGAAGAATTGTGACTCTACTGTTAAGAGAGCACAAATAAGTTGAAGCTCTATTTTTTTGCTCTAAGTCGAAGGGTGGTCTTGGGCTTAATAACTTAACTGCTTGGAATAGGGCTTGCTTGATGCAAATTGTTAGGAATATCTTGATGAAGGTTGGGTGTTGAAGCTATATTTTGATATAACAAATAAAGGTAAAATATTTTTGAATTTAATTGAATTTGTTCAAACGATTCAAAAATAATTCAAAGTGCATAAAGCATGAAAAATGTTTTCCAAGTATTTTTGATTTGATCTACACCTTAGAGTAATTTTAGAAACTCAAAATAAGTCAAAATATTCAATTCTTGGTGTAAGGTTTCAAAACCCTTTCGAAAACCTCTGAGGCAGAATGCTCAAAGTTTCAAAAATTTCAACCTAGTTTCGACTTTTCGAAAACCTCTGAGGCATAATGCTCAAAGTTTAAAAAATTTCAACCTAGTTTCGAAATCCCATTATCTGGTTTCGAAACCTTCTGTATCTGGTTTAAAACCCCATGCTAGGTTTCAAAACCCTTTGCTCTAATGGTGATTGTAGATGTTCATTTTGTTCAGGAGGGATTTCATTCGAGTTTTTCTCGGATTTATATTTATATTATTAATACATATGGGTGTGTTTAGAATGATGTGGGGATTACTTATTAATATCTATTTATGGGTATGACTATATATATTACCATTATGGGATTACATAACCATTAGTATATATACATATAAATATATGTAATAAGTATGTAAATAGCTGAATATATATATATATATATATATATATATATATATAGCATTAGTTTGAAATGCACTACGTTTTATTATTTTCTGTTACATGGTTTAAAGCAGATACAAATAATATAAATTGAGCCCAATATTACTTGAAGCCCAGTCAGTGGTTCAATGGTGTGCAACCCACATGAAGACCCTATGTCCATTAGGATTTCTATTAGCAGCATCCAGTGCCGTGCAATGGGAGCCGTTTGATTTGGGGTATCTCATCCAATGACCCCGTTGAAGTAAAACTTAGGGTTTTACCCTAAGGGATCATCTACCGCCGCCGCACTATGGTAACCGTTGGATCCAGTCACTGATCCAACGACCAAGCTCCACCCGAAAGGGCCAACTGTCCCGTTTCTCCTCAACGGTTCACTTGTACCTGCAACAACATAGCTAGGACGAGATTCCTTGGCCACGTAGAGTGGCCAACACAGCAAGGCAAAACAGATCTTATCAACAGAATTTACAGAGGGCAATTTTAACAACGATAAAGAGGACGCACAAAGAAAAAAAGGGGGATATATTAGCAACCAAAAACCCTAGAGAATATCTATAAGAAAAAACATCGAAAGAAAAAAGCAGAGCCTAAAAAAATACCCTATTGTTGTAGATGCTCGTTTTGTCCGGGCTTATAGAAAATTACTTGTAACGCAACTCATACCCCAAGCAGTTGGAAGCCCAATGACCCAGTAGAGCAGTCTCCAGCCCATGTGAATGTTCTCTAGAGATAAAAAATAGTTATGGGGGGTTAATAAGATCAGGAGTTAACCAAGAGAATCGGGTTCTATGATAGAGCATAGAGAAAAACTGTAAATCAGAAGGGGTTGGTTTTTAATTGGATTAACCACTGGAAACGATCAAGGGGAGAAAAGAGGAGATTACACAAAAAACAAAACTATAGAGGAAATGGTGGAGAGAGGAATTAACCGAGAGAATAGAAGCAAAAAAAACCCTCCCCTATAGATTTTGACAGAGGATAGAAAAAATGAAAAAGATTGTACTGTACTTTTCTCATATTCGATAATCAAAGGAAACAGAAGTGTTCGCTCGTTTCAACTAACCAAAGCAATACACAGTGAAATTCAGTTCATACAAGGGTTTTCCTTCATTATTATTTACATTAGTATTTTTCTTCATTCGTTTTATTAACTTTTAAACTAAATACAAATCATAAAATATGAAAATAGAAGTAGAGACCTTTGGT